TCCTCCTCCCCCCACTGCCCCCATTCCCTCCTCTTGTCGCCCTCAACCTCGCGTTCCACTCACCTTGCTCTCCCCCAGCACATCACTCTCTACATTTCTTCTCAACTCCTCCCTCGTCTTGCGTGCCACATCCAACCTCGTCCTCCGCTTCTCCACCTCTCGCGCCACAGTCGCCTCCTCGGCCTTCTCGTAGAGGTGCAGCACCTCTTGCAGAACGTCGAGCGAGCGCACATGCACCGCCAGCTGCGCCTCGAACGTCGTCGTTGCGCTAGGCGCGGATTGATCGGGCTCGGGAAGCGAGGAGAGGAGAGGGTAGTAGGGCGAGGAGGAGAGGTAGAGCTCCAATGCGGACGCCAGCTGCAGAATGCATGAGCTTACGGCGGCAGTGGAGAGCCTTGTGCGGCGCCAGACTCACTTGTGCTGAGTCGCCCTCTGCCTTGTGCAGCTCCACTAGCCGCTGCAGCGTCTCTGCCAACCTCGTCGCATCGCCACTAACACAGTGGGTGACATGGCCTCATCAGCCTCTCAGTCGCGCCCTTTGTGTCGCCCGCCTTGGCACCAGCCACTCACCTCTGCTTCAGCACGTGCATCTGTTGCCTCAGCACCTCTGCCCGCAGCTGCGCCTGCCTTGTCTGCGCATACAACTTCTCCAGCCCTTGCCATGCCAGCAGTGTATCGGGCTGCGCGGCAATGGCAAGGCGATAGGCCGCCTCTGACTCGGCCCGACGCTCGAGATGCAGCAGCGCCAGGGCGCGGAAGACGAGGCTGGTGCAGGCGTCAGGAAATGTGGCAAGAGAAGGAGGGAAGACGGCGCAACGCACGCATTGTAGTGGCCTGCCTCGGCGCCAAGCACCTCGTCGCTGGGAGTAGACGAGCATGGTCAGCAGCCAGCGCGCCAGATCAGAAGTGGCCAGAGGAGGGCCAGCTCTCTGCAATCACGCACGCAGCAGCCAGGGCCGCATCCCACTGCTTGGCCGCAAGCGCCTCGCGGCTCGCCTTGAGCTTGGCCTTGGCGTATGCGGAGGACATGGGGTGGTGGTGAGGGGTGGAGGAGGCGAGTGGGCGATGGCCAGGTGGAGGCAGCGAGCGCGCCTCGCCTGGCCAGCGCATTCCGCCAAGGCACGCGCGCGGGAGTCGCACGCCGCCGCGCGCGCCAGGTGCCTGTGCGCCGTCACCACAGCCAGCCGCGCGCATGGCGGCGATCGTCGCTGGCTGCACAGCGTCTGACTTCCTCTCCCTCTCCACTCCTCCTCCCCTCGCTCGCACCATGGCTTCCGGCTTCGGCTTCCAGGGCGGTGCGTTGCGCGCTTCTCCCACTGCCAATGCGCTCAGCTGACGCCGCCTCATGTGCGCCAGGCCGCTCGCGCTGCTACACCAACTGGCAGGAGTTCATGGCCTGCTACGCCAACGCCGACGCGCCCAAGGACTGCATCAACCAGCGCGCCGACTACCTCGAGTGCCTGCACCACACCAAGGAGGTGCGTATGGCGCACACGCACGCACCACGCCGCTCCTCGTGATGGGCCAAGAT